TTATATGTCACAACTTATTTATTAATCACATATTATTAAATTAAGTGGTCATAGATTATTTTGAGGTCACAAATAAAAAATTTTATGCGTCACAATTTTTTTCATTTGTTACAAATCAAAAAAATTATAGGTAACAAGTTATCTATCGGTCACATATTTTCAAATTTGTTGGTCACAAATTATTGAATTTGAAGGTCACAGTTTAGTGGTTAGTCATAATAAACCAAATAATTGGTCACATACACTAAACATCACATCCCCGATCCTGATCCACCACCAATACTTGGTCACAAATTAATCAAATAATTGATTACAAACGCTATCCCACCACCTCCCCACCAACAACACAACACCACCACCGCCCCTGACAACGATGCCATGACTATCACACACATCATCGTCGCACCGCAAACGCCTGCTCCAACACCACACACCACCTCCACCCATAACTGTAATCAACCATCGCCTGCTAAAATCGGGAATTTCTTCCATCATTACCACACCCACAGAAACAACCCAACCACCGTACGGAAAATCCCCAAACCACTGCACCACCGCGACCACCATACCAACCAGAAACAGATGCAGAAGAGGGAAAAAAAAAAGAGAGAAACGACGATGGCGCGAGTGTTGCTGCTTACAATAGGGGAGGTGCTGTGTATCGCGCACGATGGTCGGTGCTACGCCTAACGCCGGCGCACACGAGCACTATGAAGAGACACCCCATTCAACACAAAACACAAATGCTACAACCATCACCACCACACCTCTGCGTTGCCTCTATTTTGCCCGTGCGATGCCCCATTCGTCGTTGCAGTTTGTGCACAGCAACATTGCTCGACGACATTCAGCAGCCCTCGATGGAGAAGCTGTGCGAGGGAGATGAAGCGAAGTTCACATCGAAGCGCCGAAGAAAGAGAAGGGAGAGAAAAGAAGAGAGAAGGTAGATCAAAAAATAGAAAGCTGTTCTCAGCAGCGTCTGACGCCAGTAGCGTCGGTCGACACATCTCCTTTGTTTTTGATTGCCAGAGTTTGAATGAGTCGCCGATTGTCGGAGAGAAAGAAGGGAGATAAATGAAGAGGGAGAAGAGGAAGAGAGAGAAGGGAGATAATGAAATAAAATTAGGGTTTGAATGGGTATAATATTTAATTATTAATTCAATATCTAAACTTTGATTAAAAAATCTTCACACCTGAATTTTGCACCTTAAAGTTTAAACACTTGGATTTATGTAATTTCCTCCTGATTTCAAACTTTGAAAAATTGTTTAAATTCAACAAAAAGTTATCGAATTCAACTTTTATTGGGCCTAAGCCTAAACTAACCCAAACCGACCCAAACTTGATCGGTTTGGGT